TCTGGCTTTAGGTGTGTTACTCTGAAATGTTGGTTAGTTGGCTTTTAGTTATTCTTACATTTCAATCATTTGTTAAGTGAAACAGAGTAATGGTGAACATCAATGTCACACGCAATCTAGTAGCACCTTTATGAATTATTTTCTCGATTAAGCGGTGACTTGTTTGGTTGATTGTTGATGTTTCTCATGTAACGCCTTAAGATGTCTTGTTTTCTCCACATTCCCATGAAATTCACTTTACTTTCACAGAAGAGTAAATAATATATTCACATTTAAAAAAACTGGAATCAGAGAATTTTTAACTTTTCCCTCTTAAAAATTTACCAAAACTATTTATCAATGATCATAAGACTTGACAACTAATCCGTTAGTTTTGGCAGTTCTACAGATGAACCATTTTAAACATTATTTAAGCAACTTCAAGCACTTCGTAATTGAAAATGAGTAACAGTGACAATAAAACCAGCACACAGCAGACCAGCACCCTTTAAAGACCCCTGGAGGATCCTAAATTCTGATCTGACAGTCTGAAACTCTGAGCTCTCAACAGCTGATTGAAAACACACATTCACAACTTCTGACAACCGTCCAAGTGCTACACACACACACACACACACACACACACACACACACACACACACACCTTCCTACTCAGTGATAACGTTTTGCAGCACAATATAAGCGGACACAGCCGAACAAAGCGCCGTCCAGCCGTGTCTGTGTTGGCTTGTCGCCAGCCTGCCGGTTAGCTGGCCGTTAAATCACACAGCTAGCTAACTTAGCCGTGTTAATGGCGCCAAATGTTTCAGCCACATCGCTGCGGCACCGGTCGTATCTTCTCTGCTCCATAGCCGGGCCTGTCTGCTGCACAATACGGGGACGGCTACAAAAAAAGCTCCATCGACAACGTTTTACATCTTTGAACGCCACGTCTCATTAATTAGCCGGAGCCTGCACACCTCCAGGCTCAGTCTCACAAAGACGTAGCTAGCACGGTTAGCCAGCGAGCTAACACACACACAAACAAACATAGACGAGACGCACCACTTCGATGTTCTTGAAGCCGGTGAGGACGAGGTTCTTCAGCAGCTCGCAGCCGATTCCTCCCGCTCCCACCACCAGCACCTTGCAGGTGGAGAGCGACTCAGCCAGCTCTCTTCGGAGGGAACCCACCAGTTGGACCATGTTGATCGGCTGAGACAGAAGCGGAGCTGCTGCACCGGGAGGCTAGCGGCTAGCTTGTTCTTCTTCTACGTACCCCCCCAGGCCCCGCCCACTTCCGGGTCACTCGACTTCTTCTACGGTAAAATTCTGAGGCGCGTCTTTGTCCTGTTTGTTGTCTCTGCACCCTCCTGCTGCTGACTGCTGGACTGGAGCGTTTTTAAGGAAATATTCAAGTTGCCATCTAATAATTGCACATTTTAAAGTTATTTTGGAATAAGTAAAAAATAAACAAGCATTGTTTAATATTATATGAAAACTTATCCATTGTTTTTTATTAATGTGATCCCCAAATTTGGGTTTGAAAGGAATGTTGTCATTGAAAACAAATTGCAAAAGTATTTGCAAAAGCAAAAAGAATTGACATTTTTGTAGCTTTTTGATAATCCTCGAACAACTCGTCTGTGACTTGCTGCTAGGGAAACCAACCACATCTAATCCTCTAAAAAACATTAGTCAAATGTGTGATTTATTCTCGTTTACAAAAAATAACCCATTTGCTCTAATCAGATTATGTAAAAAACTCAACTGCAGCTAAATCAGTTGCAACCAACAGTCACACAACAAAAATTCAGAGACTTTTTGGACAAACTGCAGGCTGTGTCTGTGCAAAGTAAAAGAAGACAAATATGAAGATACATCATAAATAAAATGAATAAAATATCAGTATTATGTAGAGTCACAGGCTATTTTTTTTTCCAATATTGGTAGCACCCGTGGGCAGGTATAAATAGCCAATTATTTGAACACACCAGCCAACACATATCATGTCAGAGTATTTTTAGGAGGCTTTAATGCATGACAGGAATGACAGATAAATCAATCCAGGG